CTTCAATTGCTTTTACTGTTCTATTGTTGTTGTATATTTCATGTATATATAGTTGTGCTATCATAGTGTCCATGTGTAATAAAAGGAAGGAGTTAGTTTTAGATTCAAGATTGTTGAGATATGACCGAAATCTCTCACAGTCTCTTTTTTTTTATCTATCCTTTCATGTGTATTACTTGATATTGTTATCGATATGTGACAACACGATTGACGCATCTTAATGCCCTTCAAGTCAATGACCAATGCCCACGACGTTGAACCATTTTGTTACTACCCAAAAAGCAATCTTTAAGTTTCAAGCAACATATTGAAAATCAAAGGGAAATATGAAAATTTTTCACTGGCAGACAAAAATTCAAAATGAACAACCTTTCAATTTCAATGGAAGAAGACATTCACAAAGAAAATAGCACCTCCCTCTATTTGTGTATGCACCTATTCAGTTCACTACTTTCAAAACCTTTCTGGAGGTGTAAAATGAAACATATATTCTTCAGCAGTTCGATCTAAGCTTATAGAGGAACCGATCAAAAAAAATAATAATTACCCATATCAATCTGATTTGATTCGGAAAGATCTGATCAGATTGACAAGGTTCAAAAAAATTATTTCTTTGTTGGTTATAGATTTGATTTGGAAAAAAAATAAGTACACTTTCGTAGTAGGGGCTGTGTGAAATCACTTATAAGAAGAATTTTAACCTTTTCATCCCAAATGGATATATAATCAATCCAATTGGTTATAAATTCGATCCGACTAGGTCAGATTTTTATGGTAAAAAAACTCTTCTTCTTTTTTTTCCTCTTTATAAAATATTTGATTTGACAAAAAAAATGACTATTGTTTCCTAATAAGGTTTGAATCTCATTTAGAGTGTATTTGTGATGACTTATTGAATTCAAAAGTATTTTTTGAATAATTAGTTTTTAAAAAATATTTTTTTCCATAAGCATCGTTTGGATGCTCATTAAAAAAGTACTTAAATAAAAATAATTTTACAAAAATTGTGTTTGGATGGTCAATTAAAAAAGTATTTATTTGTATCACAATTACAAATATGTCCTTCATAATCAAATATATATGTGTGTGTGTGTGTGTGTCTGCTTGTATTTTATTAAAAATGTCAATGGTTATCCCATGATATATTTTTAGTAGTAATTTATCAAATATGTAAATAAATTCACAAAAATTAAAAAGTAACCATGGGATACCAATGAACATATCCCAGTACTTTCACACCATTCTCCGTTGTTTTACAACACACAAAAACTAACAGCCCAAGCATAAGAAAAAATTCTTAGCACATGTAAGGCATTTTATCACATAGTTGGTGGACATTCTATCAAACTGTCCAATTTTACTAAAAATTAAATGTAATAAAGAGCAATGAATTATTGAAGTAAAATTAAAAAATGGCTATAGTCTAACAGCTATTATTAATAAAGGAATTTTACTGATAAGTTTAGAGTAACAAATTATTTATGATCAACATATGGAATCCAGATCAAATTGACAATTATGCTCTGTTTGGTAGGAAGGATGGAAAGTAGGAAAGATACACTTTCTATCTTTCAAGGATGGAAAGTAGGAATAATACATTTTCCTTCCTTTGTGTTTGGTTAGATGGATGAAAAATGACAAATTTTTTTTTTAATTTTTCCTTTTGTGATGGCTAAGATTAAAGTTGACAATCGAGTCGTGTCATGTTGAGCCATAAAATTATGAGTTTTTTATATTTCTTGTTCGTGTGTCAGGTCATTTTCAAGTTCGTGTTGAGTTATATTGAAGTTCGTGTCATAAAATTTGTGTCGAGTTCAAGTCATGTCATCGTGTTAAGTTGAAAATTTTTGCAAAATTTTTTTTTTAATTTAAAATTTTTATTTTTAATTTTTTAAATATATATATGTACATATTTTATCATTATATTTTTATATGAAATTAATCTATACATAATATATATAGACAAATAAGATACATCTCAACACAAATAATTAACTTTTTATCCACTTTCCTTCCGTTTTTTGAGGGATTGAATTGGTGAGTTGGAAAAAAAGTTAATTCATCCATTTTTCTTTCCTTCCTACTTTCTTTTCTTACCAAACATGATGTTTTATCTATCCCTATAATTTTTCATATTTCTAACTTTTCATCCTTCCATTTTTCCACCGTATCAAACAGAGCATTAAACAAGCTTGTATAGTTGAACATGCAAGAGAGAGAAAATAGAGATGTACTGACTTGAATTTCAGAGCAATCAAGACATTTCTGCACATCTTCAAGACGAACAACTTCTTGATATGTGCACTTCTAGATTCGAAGATATTAATGAAGGCAATGAGTCACATAAGAGATACAGTGTTTACAACAGCAAAGATTGCAATCAATACAAATATTTTATTTTCATTCTTTGGAAGATCAGTGTGATGAGCACAAGCATCAAAGAACTTGTTGTGTCGTAAATTGCTCAATCATTCTGGTTTTCTCTTATTCATCGGTAGGGCGAGACCAACTATTCGAATTATGAATTATGGAAGCAACAAATTACTTCCGGACTATTCGAGCTCTTCTTCTACTTCTACCTCCACTTCCTCTTGAATTTCTTTGTATTCTCGTCATTGACGTCAGGGTTGGCTTCAGAAGCTTTACCTTTACTGGCGAATTGGTGATGGTTGTGGAGGTGATCGGGGAAGTGAGGAGAAAATGAGAAATGATTTTTAAAAGTAAAAGTTAATTATTTTTACTTTTTTATTAACTTATTTAAGTGCTAAAATTACTTTTACTTATCTAAAAGTGTTTTTAATAAGTTAAGTCAAACATTACTTTTTTAAAAAAATATTTTTCGTAAGTCAAAATTCTCAAAAATATTTTTTTTTAAGTCATGTCAAACACACTCTTAATATGTCATTGAAATTTCTGATTTCGTAAAAAATTAAATTTGGTAGGTTTTGATATTTAATTTTTGGCTTATTTGATAAGCTCATGTAAATTGTATCCGCCTAAGGCTATGGTGTGAAGTTCTCTCTCTCTCTAAAGGAGATGTCCTAGATAATATGCCCTTCGACCTTATGTTAGCCGGTTCTGAACTAGTCGCTTCCCCAACAGTGCTCCATACGATCAAATAATACACGGTAATAGGTAACTTGTCAAATTATCAAACATTAAGTCATCACTTTGTAACAGCCAAAAGTCACAACTCACAAGGGCACAAACTATTGATCACACATAATGACCTCCAAGATTTCACACAGTACGAAAGTAAGGATGGCTCTTTCACCTCTATGATTAGTCGTTAAGTACATTAAGCATAAAACACAAGCAACGGTGGAATTCTATCTCTTCTTGTTATAATAATATGAATTCAAATCTAGTTGCTACAAAACTGTCTTACCCTTATCCTTTATTATTTCACTATTTCAAGCGCCTAATTAAGATTTTATATATGTAAACAAGCACGGTTGATAATAGGTAGACACATCATCGGTCTTCGATTGTGAGTTACTATCCTGGCTCCAACCAAGTCGGCTTAGACATACATATTTTGTGCTGATGTTATAGCCTTACTGGCTGAAAAACAAATGAAAAGAAAAAGGATTTTAGTAAGTGTAAGTTAAAAAAAAAACACTATCATGGATTAGCATCTTTTTTAGTTACAAACTCATTCTATTCCTTGAAAAGTATAGATTGTGCCTCGTGTATTGTATTGGTGAAGGACCTCATCAAACGGATACAATCAGCCTCACTTAATTCATAGAAGGTGATTTAGAGTTGAGTGAATTGAAGAAGTCTAGGGCGTGTTTGGTTTGTGATTCAAAATTGTTTTTTGTTCTCAAAAATTTTTAAACACCCAAAACTTGTCTGTTTAACAATTTTATTTTCAAATTTTGGAAAACAAAATGAGATTTGGAACACAAAAATAGAAAACAAATTAAACTTATTTTCATAGTTTTCTTTGGAAAGTTTAGAAACACGGAGACAAGCCAAATGAGGTCGCAACTTCGAGTCCCCTTAGCAGCAAATATCGTCTTTTTTTTTCCTTCCTCTCTCTCTCCACTTTGCCAGCGTCTTCACTGTGCTTCAGATCTGATTATCTCTCATCTCTCTCCACTATGCTTCAGATCTGCCCCTCTCTCTCTCTTTCGCAACAACTACAGACCTATGTGGGTCTATGTATGTGTTTTGTGTGTGTGTGTGTGTGTGTTTTGTGTCTGCGTGTGTGTGTATGTATGCCTCTGTGTGTAACTGTTTTTGTTATGTGAGAAGATAATGTAGAGAGAGAAAAAAAGACTCTAGACGGTGGAGTGTCTGCTGGAGAGAGAAGATACATAAGTGTGATTTTGTTTTTTGGTCAAAAATAATAAGTTGAAAATTAGTTTTGTGGATTATTGTCTAAACAGATTTTATAATTTTTTGTTCTTTAAAACTATTTTCAAAAATATATAACCAAATATGTTTTGCAATTTAAAAATTTTCAAAAACACTTTCTTAAAATTCTTCTCAAAAATTATTTTCGAATACTGTTTTTTGAGATGCAAATCAAATAGACCCTTAATATTCGATAGCATCTGCATCTAATTTAATTAATGATAAAATCACCTTTAGGCTATTTTTCAAAGAACCCCAAATTGGGTAAAGCCAAATAAAAATCCCTGGAAAAAGGGTGGCTGTCCAGCGGTGTGGGATTACCATTGGAAAGGAGTCAAAGACAGTTTGGATGTCCATATTCATTGACCAGGACAAGCTTATGAGAGAGAGAGAGAGACAGAGGTGTCCAAAATGGAAACTATCTTAGAGCCTCTCAAAGGTTAAGAGAGAGAAAGAGAGTTTCAAAATGGTTGCAGGTTGGTTTTGTGAAAAAATATTGCAGAGGAAGAAAGAAAAAGAATAGAGAGAAGGGAAGGGGTAAACCAGGGACCTCCTCGAGGTCCCAGAGCATTGAGAAAGCAGGGGGTGGGTTCAACTGTAATTCTCATAAGAGTTTGTTGAATATGAATAACCAGAGAATGAATGGACAGAGAAGGGAAGATATGGTAACAGTGGCAATAGACAAGGACAAAGGGAGCCAGTATGCTTTGAAATGGGCTGTTGATCATCTTCTTGGCAAGGGCAAAATCGTCACCCTTCTCCATGTCAAACAAAGACCTTCTTCCATTCCCACATCAAGTAGTTCCTCTCTCACACACACACACCCATATATACATACATACATACATACGCACGTACATGTATTCTATATATATGTATATATGTATACTTGATCTCAAGGGTAACAATGGAGGTACCGTACTAAAATTTATAAATTTTTTGAGTGAAAATAAGACAAAGAGTTAGGATCGATCTTCAAATTTTAGAACTGATTTCAAATAGGAAAATGTTATTTGATCCTTATTTAGAGACCTAATGATGTACAATTATTGGATTGGTCGTGATCGGTCGTGAGCTCCATTAGAACGCACAACTAATTCAATGGTTGCATTAATACCACATGATTACATCCCCAAATAAAATCTCTATATTATTGCTCTTTCAAAAAACCCAAGTTTGTTGTAAATTTATCAGATTGAGCTGAACATTACTTTTGTCTTACAATAACACCAACACAATAGTGATAAATAGTTTTTGATACAATAATTTTATCCGAGATGTCATGCTATATGAGTATAGGTGATACAAAAGGCGGCCTGGAAACCCCCGAGGACCACTGCATGGTATCATGGCAGTGAATTATAAAAAGATCAACATTACTTAAGGAAACGACTTGGGACACGACAGCTCCTATAGTGTGACGGGCGGTGTATCCCAGGCCCAAGAATGAATTCACCGTTGTATGGCTGATGGGGGATTGCTAACGATTTTGGCCCCGATGGTAATAGTGTAGAAATGCCATTGATGCACAACAGTGTCTACAAGCATTCATGATTTCCACATGAGGCCGAAGAAACATGATACTTATTCTCTACATTAGATGGTGTTCTCTCAAAAAAAATGTATAAACATGATACATTCTTCTAATCGCAAAGGGAAAAAAATGCTCTATGTTAAATGAAACAAATATAGATACAAATTTTCAAAAAGAAAAGAAACAGAAACAGATACAGTGGAAGAGCACAAGAACACACTATTAATATGGTTCGGCTAGAACTTGTTTTTCTATGTTTGAAAATGGCCGGACATGTAGAATTATGTTGGAATTAGTTTCAGCATGGCCTCCAGATAACTATTTAGTTCAATATAAAACACTTGCTTGTTTAACATAACGTTTATTGCTTAAAGATGTCATGCTTTTCATGTTCATAAGGATGGTTGCAGCCGAGGAGACTCAATTGTTTCAGTTTCCACTGAAACCAAAACAAAACAGTGGTGAAAAATTAATTTTTTTCATATGTTATGGAATGTTTCGAGATTTCTTATCTAATGTTCTGGAATATTTCAAAATCAAAATTCTTTTCAGAAATGTTTTCGACCTAAACAAAGTTCGTTACCGAAACAAAAATTTTATGGTGCGTCAACATTGCAACCATTGTTTGAATGCAAGTCTCGTGTAACATAATTTTTCTTTTTCCTCTGTGGGTGCAGTGGGAAACCATGTTGCCCTCTCTGATGTTAGCGACGAAGTGGCAAAAGCATATAAAGATCAAGTTGATAATCAAGCCAAAGAGTTATTCCTTCCCTTTCGCTGCTTTTGCACTCGTAAGGATGTGAGTTTCCTCTCCTTTTTTTTTTTTGGTTTCATAATGCAATCGTTTTAAACAAAATGCGTTTCATACTATTTTTTTGTGTTTTCATTTTTTGGCCCATTTTCTCTTTCTAGAACAAATTAATTAATTCTAGAAAAAATTGATTACAAGAAAAAACAATTAATTCTCCATTTGGTGACCTTTGTTATGAAAAGAAATTGGTTAACAATATCAAAGTATGTTTGGTTATTAATTTAATAATCTAAATGCATTATAATATATGCGTATGATAAACTCATATACATGAACATATATATTCCTGTATGCACAATTAAGGTTAAAGCAAAAGAACAGGCCCGAACAAACAAGAAATGCAACTTAAAAAGGTACCTTAAGAATGGTACCTATTTTTTGAAAAGTTAGAGAAAATTAAGTTTTAAAGGGAGTATTGGACATTTTGAGTCATTTTCGTTGCAATTTTGAACAACTATTAGTTTTAAAATGGTCGCACTTTAGTCCATACTACAAAAGAAGTTGTGCAAATAATTTTTTAGCACAGATGATTAATTGCAACTTTACCAGACCACAAAAGACTAAAATGCAATTTACCATTTAAATATTTGCCAAATGTTTCCCTTCCCGTATCAAGATATCTTATCCACCATCCTTCAAAAAAGTAAGTAAATGAGGTAAAAGAGAGGAAGAAACATTAGAAAAAATAAGCTCCATAAATTTCGAGGTAATATGCAATGCAACCCAATTTAACTTCATACGCTACGCTATTGATACCATTAGAATTGGTCAATTGAGCTAATCCGATTCCATGACACTCATTGTTGGTTTTCTTCTACTGTGCATGGTTGGATTTTGGAACAGATACAAGTTAACGAAGTCCTGCTTGAAGACATGGATGTAGCGAAGGCCATATGCGAATATGTAAAAGTCTCTTTGATTGAGAATTTGGTAGTTGGTGCCACCTCAAGGAATGGCTTTGTCAGGTATAATACTAGCATGTTTTCTAGTTTACCTGCACTTCCACCATCAAAATGAACAACCTGTTCTTGCTTGTAACCAGATAAAAACACAGCTCTATACGTACATGTGGTTCAATTCACAAATACACAAATCTCTTTATACTTTGAAAAGCTGCAAAATCCCCTATAGTTTTGAACTAAACTGACACCCTAAAGAATTTTGTTAAAAATTAACACGTAAAGGTCAATATATATATATACATATATTTGTTCATGAAAGGTCAATATTCAATAGTTAGAAAACTCACATATACTTCCCTATATAAAATAAACCAAACTCACATATCCTCATACCTTAAATTGATTATTACGGATTCTAGATATCCTTGAGAAAGCTAACAAAAAGGCTCTTCCCCTACAAAATAAACAAACTGCCAGAGATTAAAGGATGGACTGATTGGAGCCATTTCAATGCCCAAGTCAATAAGGTCTCTGAAAACAAATAAAAAAATTTTGCACAAAAAAGAGTGCATACATTATACAATGTGGCACACTTAGTTTTTAGCCAAATCTTCTCTAATTAGTGCAGGAATTGTTTATGTTTTCCTTTCTTATTCATCAATTCTTTAGGTCACATGTTTCTAATGTGTAATGTGTATTTACCATTTAGGCAATTTTTTTTATTGACTGTCTAACATATTTTTCAAGATAGACTAGCCATATATCCATGTAGTCTTACAATTCAACTGTATAGGCTTCGTCTCATCAATGAGCTCAAATTTCTAGCCATATCCTAACTATCTATTTTTGCTCAAATAAGGCGTGATCCCCAAAAGATAATGTTGAATTTTATTTCATTTTTATCTTCATAAAATCTGTTTATGATCACGCTTCATTATACTCTGCTTGGGCATGCACATTTTTTGCTCGAGAGTGCTTTGACCGAGCACATCATGCTATGCCGAGCTTTTCTCTTGCTGGGTCACGGCCGAGCCAAATGACTATTTCAGCACCTGCCTTATTACAATTGTCCTCTTAGTGTTTTTATCCTAATTTCGTTGGCTGTTGCACTTTAGTTCTAAAATACATATAGGGGTTCTGGAATATAAAGGTGTAACATGTTACTAGGTCAAACAACAAGAAAGTGGTATACAATTTGCCCTCTATGAAAATACGCAAGAAATGTGTAGAAGTTTTGAACTTTTTTCCCCCAATTCCAAGCTTTTACAATCCTAGACCCTAATTAATTTCTAAATATCTTGACAGTGATTCTTTATTTTGAGGCTACTGCTAAAAACTTGAATGCAGCCTTGATTCCAGGTCTTGACTGAAATGGATGCAAAACTAAAACTCGTCATGAACACATATAAAAGATACCCATGCTAAACAGATAAACCTCCAAATAACTAAATAAGTAAAATTCATAATCCATAGGTCACTAGCACTGTGCTTAGCACCTTGAGTTTGGAGGTATGACAGTTCTTAACAAATTGCACTCTGCCTTGCCCCCTTTTCCATTAAATACCTATCTTGGATCAATGGGACTGGGGACATGCTATATACATAATATATAGACACGAACACACGCACATGCACGAAGTAAGCCACAATTAACCTTTATCTGTTACTTATGAACTATTTGACTCAGAACATTCAAGACTATAGATGTTCCCGGCAGTATTTCAAAAGGGGCACCTGAGTTCTGCACAGTACATGTCATCTCCAAAGGAAAAATAGCATCAGTACGGTCTGCCTCCATTCCAGTTCCAAACCAACCTACCGTTGGCCTATTGCAGAAGCAACTCAACCCCATTCCCAGTCAAACTGATGTGGGTCTCATGCAAGGCAACACCGCAAGAGGTCTGCTTCTCTTATCCTTTCAGCAAACTAGTTTCCACCTTTGGATTTGTATCATTGCTAAAAAAAGCTTCTCTGATCCCATTTCAGCAGCTGGAGCACCTGAGAGGGCACCATTGGCTTATCGTAACCTAAACGATGACATGGAGATCAAGTAAGTGATATATTCAAGCAACCCACAATAGGATATATATATATATATATATATATATACCACACATTTTTAACTCCCAAGTTGGGACATTGCAACTTATTTATTCTGGTTATATTCCTCACATATTTAATATACCCTAGAGTTCATCATTCATAAGAATTTTAGTGAGAGAATTTTGGCTTTTACTGTGTATAATAAATTATAAGATTTTAAAATAATTATTTACCTTAAGATGCTTTGTCATTATACTCAGAGAGGCATTGCCTAAGCCATAGACAAACACTTAACAAAATACCAACCATGGTACTCTGTATTTTACTATACACTACATGATAAATACAATACTTTTCTATGTAGGAGCAAAATCATATATTTTGTGTAAGTATATCGCTACATAAGGTATCATATTATACACAATATGTGTTGTATGATACTATTCGATATATGATACATTACGATACGTGCGTAATGTTCCAAAAGGAGAAAATAACAAAAAGAAAAAGAAAGATAAATATCAAAGGAAATTTGTACATATATATATTTTAATTTGTTGACTCATTCAATCATTTTTAGTCTTTCAGAAATATTTGTTGAATACGAGAACTAAGGGTTCGTTTGGTTAGAAAAGAAGAAAAAAAAAAGATAGAAAGTAAAGTAAAAGAAAACAAATTAAAACATACTTTCTTTCACAAACTTGGTTATGATGAAAGATTTTCTAGAAAGTTGTTTGAAAATGTTTGTAGTTGTGTTGTACGGAAATATTTTAATTTCTTACACTTTCTACCAAAATTCTGCTAAACAAATGCATAAAAGGTGGGGTTTTTTTTTACTTTCTTTTCCTTTATGTGATTCTCTTGCTGAACAAATGGAGCCTAAAGAAAGCAAGCAAGTGGAAAAAAATAATGAAGATAAAGCCATTGATGCCATTGAAACTGAATTTCAAGATAAAAATGTAATTCATAGGACTATAAGAATGGATTGTCTTGAATTTTGCTACTCTATGAATTCTGATATAAATGAATTATATTGTCAACTTGAATTATAAAGTTTTGTTTTGGAACTTGGAACCTTTTTTAATCTTGTATGGAGTTTAGGTTGAAGTATTATTAATGTCATTTTAAAACAATAGATATGAGAATAAATTCTTTACAGTCAGCCTTGAAACCAATTATTTATCAGGAGCCAATCAAAATTTGACACCTATACAAACTTATTGAAAATTCTCAATACACACTACGATGACAACCCCAGTGCCAACAATCCTAATTGAAAGAATTAATCTAACTATTTGATTTGCAGAAGCATGGAAAGAAAATTACTTACCAAAAAAAAACCATGGAAGGCAAGATAATTACAACAGGACTGATCTGATAAGTGATAACCATTGCCACAGGTCACCATTTACGAGAATTAAAGCTTCAAACAGATCATACGGAGAGCTCTCAATGCCTGATACAGACATATCATTCGTGTCATCCAGCAGGCCAGGCACTGATCGTGTGTTCCCCTCTTTCTCTGGAGCTCAGGAAATGGCTATCGCCCCTCGGCTTTCAAGCGGCTCAGGCTCAGATGCCAGTACTAGAGTAAGCTTCGGGTCACCATTCTCAGCAACCAGAGCATCTGATGGAAATAACATGTATGGCAGCTTCTCGACGAGTTCACAAGAAAGCACGAGAATGTCGTGGTCACCATCACAGAACCTGGTATGCACGTGAAATTCCACAACAGATAATTGTCAACGGTTCAGAACCAATTATTTTACAGGGCATGAAATGTAATGTCCTGGCAAAATCGAAGTAAAGTAGGAAAACAACTATAAATTCAATGCTACCAAAAATGGATTAGGATCATATTTACAGGGAAGGCATGTGATTACCTCTCCAAATTCTGGAACTATCCAAGTCTATCCAACCCCTCTGCCCTTTTTTTTTTCTCTCTTTTTCTCTGTCCAATACTATTTGACGTAATGACATTGAGGTGACTCCCCAAAGAACCTCATTTGAGAAGTATTTGTAACATATGGAAGTTTTTATATATTCTAAATATTAAAAAACAAAAAACAAAAGTTCAGAATTCCTAACCTAGTGTCAAATCAATCCATTACAGATAGTGGGATAGACAAACAAAAAAGAGAAAGGAGGTACTGATTTCATATATATTTTTTGTGATGCCTAGTATTAATACACAATTATCTTCTCTAAGATACATTCTGCAACCTCAATGAAAAGTTGCCTACAATATTTCAATTTCTCCTTATCTGCGTTACGAATTTATGATGTTGAGACCATTGTTGCATCACTAACCAGCAGCCTAATTTTGGTATCACATTTGGCTTACAATGTTGCACCTGGTGTCGGATTTTAACAGTACATAGTAAAATACACCCTGCAGTTTTAGTTGATTATCCCATTCTTCAGGAACTGTAAATTTCCCTCAATGCTGCCTAACACTAAAAAGTGTAGCTTCAAAACTCATGCATGATCATAAGCATTCCCACAGCGGGATATGTTGAAACTCAACAGCAGGGATTCAGTGAAGAGCACTAAATGCTTTCTCAAACGTGTAGGATGATGTGGAATCTGAGATGAGGAGGCTTAAGCAAGAGCTCAAGCAGACCATGGACCTGTACAGCACAGCCTGCAAAGAAGCATTCTCAGCAAAACAGAAGGTACTGGGTTACGGTTCAAAGTCTTGATTTGCAACTATTTGGTCTTCCATCACAATATATGGATATGAAGATAGAGACATATATATACATTTAACCCAAGAAATTTACAAGAAAAAATGGAATATCACACATTAACCATCAATTTTAAGCATACAAAGCAAAAATCAGTTTAAGTTATAAATTTTTGTACAGGCATTGGAACTTCATCGTTGGAAAATGGAGGAACAACAGAGATTAGAAGAGGCACGGCTATCTGAGGAAGCAGCATTGGCGATTGCAGAGAAAGAGAAAGCAAAGTGTAGAGCAGCCATTGAGGCAGCTGAAGCAGCTCAGAGGATTGCCGAACTGGAAGCACAAAAAAGAATCAATGCGGAAATGAAAGCACTCAAAGAATCAGAAGAGAAAAAGAAGGTACTGGACGTGCTAGCAAAAAGTGATGTTAGATATCGCAAATATTCAATTGAGGAGATTGAAAGAGCAACAGAATACTTTGCGGAGTCCCGCAAAATTGGGGAAGGAGGTTATGGGCCAGTATACAGGTGTTGTTTGGATCATACATCAGTTGCAATAAAAGTTCTTCGTCCAGATGCAGCTCAAGGAAGGTCACAGTTTCAGCAAGAGGTGTGTACTTACTGTGCTCCAACTAAATTACAGAACTCAATCCTTAAATATCACTTCCATAACTGGCAATGTAATATATGAGATAATAAGATCGCTAATACAACTTGGTAGGCTCATAAAGTAAAGGATCCAAAATCAATTATTAAATTAAATAGACAATACTAAGACCTTCTATTCTAGAAGATCCTTATATATGAAACCGAGATTTGAGCTTCACCTTAATATTCCATGTAATCAAGATTAGAAATTACTTCAAATGCAACAACCAGTCCAGTGCCTATGTGGAGCCCTAATTGTAAGACAACTCAACAAGACACTTTTCTCCAACTATTTGTGGTTGGCCCCAGGAACCCTCTTTCTCCATTGTGTTTCCCAATGGTAAGACTCAGGCAGCAAATAGTATCTCGGATCCAACCATTGTTATGGTCTAAATAATGTAGGATATGCTACATTAACTACACCCAAAAAGCACAATTTTTTACTTACAATCATTTCGACCGTTCTGAATTCTGATGCAGGTTGAAGTTCTAAGCTGCATACGACATCCCAACATGGTTCTCCTCCTGGGAGCTTGCCCAGAGTACGGCTGCCTAGTCTATGAATACATGGCCAATGGGAGCTTAGAAGATCGTCTCTTCCGACGAGGAAACTCTCCAGTGCTTCCTTGGCAACTAAGATTCCGTATAGCTGCAGAGATTGGCACTGGCCTCCTTTTCCTCCACCAGACCAAGCCAGAGCCCCTAGTGCATCGTGACCTGAAACCAGGCAACATTTTGCTTGACCGTAACTATGTCAGCAAGATTAGCGATGTTGGCTTAGCCAGGCTCGTCCCTCCATCTGTAGCCGACACTGTAACCCAATATCGCATGACATCAACAGCTGGAACTTTCTGCTACATAGATCCAGAGTATCAGCAGACAGGTATGCTTGGAATAAAGTCTGATGTTTACTCACTTGGAATCATGCTTCTCCAAATAGTTACAGCCAAACCCCCCATGGGTTTGACTCATCATGTTGAGCGAGCAATTGAGAAGGGAACTTTTGCTGAAATGCTCGATCCGGCAGTTACTGATTGGCCAGTCGAAGAAGCAACCAAGTTTGCCACCCTAGCTCTCAAGTGTGCAGAGCTGAGGCGCAAAGACAGACCAGATCTTGGGGCTGTTGTGTTACCTGAGCTTAACAGGTTGAGAGAACTGGCTGAAGAAACTATGCCGAGGATCACAATGGGTGGCAGTCCAACAACCTCCCCAAGTCAGAGCCAAGTTTCCGCCTCTCATGTGAGTTAGATAATATGCACAGACTAGGCTGACATTGGCTTTTAATTGTTCATAACAGCTGTCCACGTTTTTCTTTTTTTGATAAGGTTTGAAGTTCAGACAAACATATACTAAAAATGCTTGTAGGGAAAGGTAAAAATATAACCAAGGCAAAAAAAAAATCTCTAAGATTTAATCATCACTTGCACCAAAAGATTTAAATAAGAGCCTTTTCTGGCCCTGATAATACATACATCAAGCAGTTTGCAGGTAATTGTTTTAAGATTCATCATCACTTGCACCAAAAAGATTTAAATAAGAATCTTTTCTGACCCCGATAATGCATAAATCAAGCAAATTTTTGGTGTCTTTTTGCAGGTATACACTGGATATGAAAGTTCACGGAGCCGCCCCAGTGCATTATATATGTCAGAGAGAAGATGAATTATTGACTGAGAAGCATATAGGATTTTGAAAACAAAGGACGAGAATAGGATTCAAGGAATCAGGTTAAGAACTAAAGATTAATGGAAGTTCGTTTCATTTCTTTGTTTCTTACAGCAAGTATACTAAAGTTAGTCCATGAGCATAAATGCAGACTGATTCGCTGGCCTCGTCAAGCACACTGCTATTTTCTATTTGTTCAGATGAAAATACGATTCCTGTAGTAAAATTTTACTCATGAATTTTCTGGAAACATAGTTCATTGTCTTGATGAGCTTGAACTCTCAAGTGTTAGTAACAATCCTTGCTGATTAAAAAATAATGGAAGACATTCATGCTTTGCGGATCTGGCAAAGGATTGTGTCACTAGAAGGCAATAATGAAATGAGGAAAATGGGGTATGAAAAGAACAGTCAAAAAGAATTCAGAGCAAAACAAAAAAGAATTCAGAGCAATATCTCAAATTATATGAGAACTGCAAAAAAATGAAAAAAGTTGGTACAGAGAGGAAGAAATTAACAGGCTAGGTTACACTTTTTTTTCGATAAACGATTAATATAATGCAAAAACAATGTGCAATTGCAGGACAGCACGCTCTTAAAAGAAAAAAGAAAAGAAAAAAAAAACGAGACAAAAAAATAAATAAAAAACAAATAAAAAGAAACTAAAAGACAACCATCATCCAATTTCATTAAAAATGGGACAAGTCACCCTTCTGAAAATTTCAATAGACCTAGTCCATTAGAAGTAGGCTAAACAGGTGACACGTAAATAATATATAAATTTATACACGATACGTTTATTAAATAATGAAAAATTTCAACACAAACACGAATTATTTAATAAATGAATAACACAATATGACTTGTTTAACCCGTTTAATTTTATTAAAATTTCTTTTTAATAAGTCATACAAAAAAATTATTCAATTAAAATTTTAAACTCCATTAATCATTCACAACAACTATACTCTCTTAATTAAAAATTTTCCAGTTGGCAGCCACTTACAAAAGCAAATGAGAGGGTTGAATACCTAAAGAAAGAGTTGCAACATTTTATAAGCACGAGAGGTCTCCTTGATTTAAATATACCGATGTGAGATTTAAGTCAAGCCAAAAGCTTTCACGTGCAGACCCACAAGAAGCATCATTGAGATATTCAAATGCATTTTCACTGTATTCACTGTGTAGATGTTCAAATGCTTTTTCACTATTTTTTTTTGTTTGAATTAAGATTTTTCTTTATTCATTTACCATATATTTGTCTATAATATTTTAATTTTGACTAAATTTTTTTAAATAATTATTAATTTATTATAATATTAATTTTTTTAAACGGATGATAAATGAGTTAACAGGTCTCACCCGAATACACACCCGTTTATTAAACGTGTTTAACAGGTCAACTCGTTTATTACCTAAATTCATTAACGTTTCACCCAAACCAGCTTAATTCGTGTCGATTAATCGTGTCATGTTGGATTTTAATAGGCCTAATTGTAAGTGAACAACCTATAGCTCCTTCCCCAGCCATCCTAGAATTCCCACCCTCATAGTTTATACATTTGTTAAAAAGAGTTCTTATAACTACAAAAGTCTCACATTTTGCAACTCCTCCTCTGCCTCGGGGCAACTGTAAAGCCATTTAGGGCTTGTTTGGTATATTTTTTGGAAGAGGTTTGGATTGGTTTGTCTAAACCTGGGTTTGACCAAAGATGGGATTCAAATAAGGGATTCAATATTCAATGTTGTCCATACCTATGTTTGGCATGCGCGGGAATATATGACTATTATGATAATATATTTATATTTAAATGACTATTATGCCCCTTTAACTACTTTAATCCAAACATGGGTATGAATATATGGGGATATAAATGTCATTGGAATGTGAAATCTCTAAACCCACATATGAAACCCCCCTCCCACAGGTTTCATGAACCCATGAACAAGGGTTTCATGACTGGGCCAAATTTCAAACCCTAGGCTAAATCAATAGTTACCAAACATGGGTTTAAGGAGGTTTAGTCCCCAACCCATGTTCCAAACCCCCCCCCCCCCAAACCCACATACCAAACAACCCCCTTAGTGGTAAAGTCCCAACTTCAATGCTACCACCTCCTTTCTATTTTGCATTTCATTTATAAATAAGAAACTCTACAACCGCAATCAATTTTATGTGCTTAATGTTTAAGCCAACAATGATTACATCTTTTATTTTGTTAAATTTCAATTCATAGCTTTTACCGTGTACTGGCTTTGTATCTTGGCATTATATCATTACCAGCCTCATATTCTTCATCGTGTGCATTTGTTTTTCAAATATCACAACGCCTCTTTCTTTCTCTACTTAGTTCCTCCGGTTTTGACTTTTAAGAATTTACATTTTTTTTGGGGCAGGGGGAGAGGGAAGGGGAAGGGAGGGAGCTTGAACTTTGACACCCCTATAATCGAGGGTCATTTATTATTCGTTGACCAACCATCAACCAGCGAAAAATACCCTTGATAGTCGCACAACTCGACTTCACGCTAATAACATTCCCTTTACCGGGATTATGAACTACACGTAAAGACCCATATTCATTTTATCCTTGGAATCCAAGAACCCATAGCCCAAAAGCTTGACAAAGTAGTTTTAAAATTTCAAAATTTTGAAAAGAGTACCGATATGCTTTGCTCACTGGACCTCGTTGCACCGGTACGCAATACTGGTACAGATTGCCCATCGGACTTTAGTATACTGGTACACAGTACCGGTACTCTTGGCCAACTTTTATCTATTTCTCCTGTTTTTCATTTTCAATCCAATTCAAACCATTTCAAAACCATCCAAAACATATATTAAGATGTTTATCACATAAAACTTGATATGTACAAGTTCTATTACAATCCATTTATACGATTACAGGCTCACTACATAATTTTTACAAAGATTACACAAAATGTGCTACAAAAGCCACAAGTCAACTTTTCTTTATTTGTGAGGCCCCGAATGAGAGTCCTCCGCCGGTGTAAATCTTGCACCTGAAACGTTTTTTCGTATAGGGTGAGCCACGCCTAGTAGAGTATTTCCTACAGAGGCTACCCCCTCCCCTAGATGCATATGAATGTGGTCATGCAACAATCAACAATCATAATTCATTCCATACAAGAACATGTCATTCAAGATGAAATTTCCTACTATGTCATGTCATAATATGAGGTAATACTTACTCATGCACCTTAACCCCGAGTCCTCACCGACTCCCACATCACAATGCAGTGCACGTGTGAAGTAAATCTATCATTAATGAATTTCATCTAATGATCATTTTGAAATAAAGGTCATGTGTTTATAAAACCAAATTTTGTTGGATGATACACATCGAATGACCAGTTGTAAAACAAAATCATGTGTCTTTGTTAGGTATCAGATTCTGGAATCACACCTCTGGCTCCGTACACCATTATACCTTTTCAGAATTTCACCACAGGGGAGTGTATAAACCAAGTAGCCGAGTCTTTCCCCCTATGAAGGATCTATCCCTTCTTGCTATACCTAACACAAGTTTTTCTTTCATGTCCAGCCCTCGTCACCGGCAACTACCCATACTCGGCCCTTGATGGACACTAACTTTGGGTCCTGCTCCTGGGACTCTATCACTCTGTTCAGTAGGGAAGGTGTAGCCACCTAGCTCTCTAAAACACCCTAAGCCTGCCCTCGATAATGCAGCCCAAACTGTCCCAAAGTCTCAAGCATCCGCAACCCTCAAAAAGTCATCCTAGCCACAACTCCTAGTGACTTTCGGCTAAGTGCATCGGCCACCACATTTGCCTTAGCAGGATGGTAATGCAATGTGAAGTCAAAGTCTTTCAAGTACTCCATCCACCTGCGTTGCCTCATATTGAGGTCCTGCTGTGTAAAAATATACTTCAGACTCTTGTGGTCCAAAAATACCTTAAACTGTTCACCATATAGATAGTGGCGCCAAGCCTTCAAGGCAAAAATAATGGCTGTCAACTCTATGTCGTGTGTAGGGAAATTCTGCTCGTGATTCTTTAATTGTCGAGAACCATAAGTCACTACTCTCCCTGCTGCATCAAAACACACCTAAGTCCGTCTCTGAATGCATCACAGTACACTGTATACCTTTGTCCCCTTTCTGGGACTATCAGAATATGAGCTAAATTAAGCCTCCTTTTCAACTTCTGGAATGCCTTCTCACACGAAACATCCCACTCAAACTTGACCTCTTTTCGGGTCAACTTAGTCACAGGTGCAACTAGTCAGGAGAAGTCTTCGATGAACCTCCCGTAGTACCATGCCAATCCCAAGAAATTGTGTATGTCAAAGACTGACTTCAGCCTCTCTCAACTCATGACTACCTTAATCTTCTCCAGGTCCACGGACACACCCGAAGTCGACACCACATGTCCCAAAAATTTCACCTCGGTTAGCCAAATTCACATTGCTGAATTTGGCTTACAATTGATGGTCTCTCAAGGTTTGAAGAACAACCCTTAAGTGACCCTCATGCTCCTCCTTAGAGTAGATCAAGATGTCATTAACAAATACCACGATGAACTGATCTAATTAGGGTTGGAACA